TCCTCCTCTTTGATTAAAAATGGAGAAGTGCCATCACCAGCCCTAAGGGCTAACTCATCTCATCTCAGGAGAATCCAAAGTCTGATAATTGACCATGGCCTGTTTTGTAGTGATTTTAGCAAATGGCAGTAACTGTCAGCAAAGAAATCTTAAAAACAGTGAGCAAGCAATAATACACAGTATTACCATGGGGAAACAAGGGATAGGAGCCATGCAAAACAAGGGATTGCTAAGCCAACCTAATTGTTTGGTGGGTGAAATCTTGAAAATGGATTACAAAGTTTTTTGAGAGTGTTAACATTGATTTCAACAGCATTTGATTCATTTACAAAGAAACAGCATCTTTTCCAATATCATATACCCTCCCCATGTTTATTAAGTTCAATGTTCTTCTGTTGTGGAGCACAGCTCTTTTAGATGATCCAGGTTCTAGTCCCAGCGCCCACATGGTGGCTAACAACCATGTGTAACTCCAGTTCCAGGGTATCTTATGCCTTCTTCTGACCTCTGTGGGCATTGCAATATATGGATGCATTTACATAAATGTAGGTAATACAATCATATGTATAAAATAAAAATTATAAATAAAATATTTAAAAAGAAAGGCTACTGATTGTTGTAGATTAATTTTGTCAGCTGCTACTTTGATGAAAGTGCTGATCAGTTATAGTTTTTTCATGGAAATTTTGGGATCTCTTAAGGATAATATATCTTCTGAAAAAAGGGATAATTTGACCTCTTCTTTTCCAATTACTGCTCCTTTAATTTCCCTCTTTCTCTTATTGCTCTAGCAAGAATTTCAAGCAGTATATTGAAAAGGAGTGAAGATAATGGACAGCTTTCCCTCATTCCTGATTTTAATGGAAATGCCTCCAGTTTTTTGTTTTTCATTTAGAACGAGGTTGTTTTTATGTTTGTTCTATATAGATTTAATTATGTTGAGGTGTGGTCCATCTAGTCCAATTCCCTTTAGAACTTTTATCATGAATGCATGTTGAATTTTCTCAAAAGCCTTTTCTGCATCTATTGAGATGACGATGTGTTTTTTGTCTTTGAGTTCCTTTATATGACTGATGGAATTTATTGACTTGAGTATATTGAAACATCCCTGCATCTCTGTAATAAAGCCTACTTGGTCATGGTGAATGATCTTTTTGATGTACATCTATATGAAGTTTACAAGTATTTTCTTGAGAATTTTTGCATCTATGTTTATTACAGATATTGGTCTATAGTTTTCTTTTCTGATTCTGTACCTGGTTTTGTTATTAGAGTGATGCTGGCTTTGTAGAAGGAATTTGGGAGTTGTCCCTCTGTTTCTATCATTTTGAATAATTTAAGTAGTATTGGTTGGAGGTCTTCTTTGAACGTGTGGTAAAATTCTGCTATAAATCCATTTGGGCCTAGACTACTTTTAGTTGGGAATTTTTGTGTTACTGTTTCAATTTCCTTATCTGTTATATATCAGTTAAAACTGTTGATCTCTTCTTGCTTTAACTTTGGGGGTTCCCATGATTTTAGATATCCGTCCATTTCTTTTAGGTTTTCAAATTTAATGGAGTATAGGTTTTTAAAGCATTCCCTTATAATGTTTTGGATCTTTTGGGTGTTTATTGTGATAGTTCCCCTTCATCTCTGATTTTGTTGATTTGGATTTGCTCTTTTTTTCTTTTGGTTAACAGGGCTAAGTATCTGTCTGTGTGTCTTATTTAGCTTTTCAAGGAATCAGCTCTTAGATAAACTGATTCTTGGTATTGTTTTCTTTGTTTCTATTTCATTAATTTCTGCTCTGATTTTTGTTATTTCTTCTCTTCTGCTGGGTTTGGGTTTCATTTGTTCTTGCCTTTCAACAGTCTTGGGTTTCAACTTTAAGTCATTATTTGTGTTCTTTCTGATGTTTAAATATAGGCACTTAGAGCTACAAACTTCCCTCTTAGGACTGCTTTTAAAGTGTCCCAGAGATTTTGTTGTGTTGTGTTGGCCTTTTGATGAATTCCAGGAATTCTTTTCTTTCTTTATTTCTCCTTTGATCCATTCACCATTTAGGAGTGTGTTGTTTAATCTCCATGATTTCATGTAATGACTAGGGCTTCTTTCCAGTGTTGCTTTTAAGCTTTATTGCACTGTGGTCTGATAGAATGCATGGACTTTTTCCAATTTTTTTTTTTTTTTTTTGTATTTGTTGAGGTTTATTTTGTGCCCCAGTATGTGGTCAACTTTTGAGAAAGTTCCTGGGGTGCTGAATAGAAAGTGCTTGGGTGGAATAGTCAGAAGATGTCTGTAAGGTCTACTTATTGTATGGTGTCATTTAATTCAGACATCTCTCTGTTTATTCTTTGTCCAACTGACCTGTCTAATGGAGACAGTGCGGTATTGAACTTCCGTGCTATTACTGAGTTGGGATTAATCTCTGTTTTTAAGTCCTGTAGTGTTGTTTTCAGGAATTTGGGAGCACCATAGTTTGGTGCATATATGTTCATGATTATAATATCTTCTTGGTTAATTGTCCCTTTCATCAGAATGAAGTGACCCTCTTTATCTCTTCTGATTTATTTTAGTTTGAAGTCTATTTTATCAGATATTAGAATTGCAACCCTGCTTATTTCTTAGTACCATTTGCTTGAAATATTCTTTTCCATCCTTTCACCTTAATGTAGTGCCTGTTCTCAAAGGTGAGATGGTTTCCTTGCAGATACCAAGAAGATGGATTTTGTTTCTTAATCCATTCAACTAGCCTGTGTCTTTTAACTAGGGAGTTCAATCCATCGTTATTTAAAGTTATTATTGAAAGATGTGTATTGGTTTCCATCATTTTGATTACTGTTTGAATTTTTTTTTGTCTAATTTTGTGTTTCCACAATTACACTTTCATTTATTTCTGTTACTCCTTGGGTATATTCTTTCTTTTCCCCATTCTTTGTAATGTTTCAAGTATTCTTTGAAAGGCTGATTTTGTAGACATGTATTCTTTCAAGATTTGTGTCTTGGAAGGTTTTTCTTTCCCCTTCAACTATAATAGACATTTTTGCTTTATAAAGTATTCTGGTCTGGCATCTCTAGTAATTTAGAACTGGAAATACCTTAGTCCAGGCTTTTCTGGCTTTCATAGTTCGCATTGATAAGTCAGCTGTAATTCTGATATGCTTTCCTTTATATATGACTTGTTGTTTTTCTTTTGCAGCTTTTGGCATTCTCTCTTCGTTCTGTACATTTAACATTTTTACTCTGATATGCTGTGTGGAGTTTTTTTTTTTTTTTTTTTCTGGTCCTGTCTATTTGATGTACTTCTTGTATTTGTATGGGGATGTTTTCCCTTAATTTTGTGAAATTCTCTTCTACAATCTTGTTTAAGATCTGGTTAATACCATTAATCTGAAGTTCTCCTCCCTCTATGCCTATGATACATAGATTTGGTCTTTTCTTCTCATGGTGTTCTACATCTCCTGCATACTCCATTCTTGTATTTTTTTTTTTTAATTTTTCTTAATCTTTGCTTGAGCAGCCCAATTCTTCAACTTTATCCTCCAGTGTTGATACTCTGTTTTCCATTTCATTCATTCTAGCAGTGAGGCTTTCTGCTGTTGTTTCAAGTTGGCTTTTTGAGTTTTTCATTTCCTTTATTTCAGTCTGAGTTTTCTTCAACATTTTTCTCTTTTTTGAATTCCTTCAGAACTTTATGCCTATTTTCTTTTAGTTCTTTGATTTGTTTATTTGTATGTTCTTTTAATTCATTGAATTACTTGATCATGTTTATGATTGTTCTTTTAAATTCTGTGTTCTTGGTTATCTCTAGGGTCTTCTCCTTGTAGAACTCTTCTACATTGGTGGGAACGTGCTGTTTTGGTTTTCCATTTTATTATTTTTTTCGTTGAGATTTTGGCAGGTGGATTTCTTTTGTTGTTTGTGATTCTGGGAAGCCGTCTATCATTGAGTTGATATTTGCTTCTGTTTGTATTATTGTGCTTTATTGTTTTCTTATTGGTTACATAGAGTTGGTTGGTCTAGATTTCATGTTCTCTCAGTGGAGTGAACTGATGGCTTCAGATCAGCTACTCAGAGGCCCCAAGTCAGGCTCCAGTCAGGTACACTCAGGTTTCCTTCTAAGTTTTGGACCCTACTAGTGGGTACTCAGAGCACAATTTGGGAAGTTCCCTAAGGGGAGGCCCAGTTTTGGCACGCTCAGACAGTCTGCTGAGTTCTCAGCCTTTACATCAGGTGGAGGCCAGATCAGGTGTTCTCAGGCTGTTTGCTAAAGTTTCAGCCTGAGAGGTTTGCCCCTATGGCTGTGGAAGGGGCCTCAAGTAATCCCATTTAGGGGGTTGGGTAAGGTGCTATTTGGGTAAGTTTTCAGAAGATCATCACCAAGTGGAGGCAGGACCCAGGTACTCTCATGAGGTCTGCTGAGTTCTCAGGTTGTACACCAGGAGGAGGCCAGATCAGGCACTCTCAGGCTGTCTTGAGCCTAAACTTTTAGCACACTATCTATGTCATTTTTCTAAATTCACAGGAGATGAAACTCTTGTGTACCATTCTTTCATGTCCTCATTCTTTCATCTCAACAAATGTTTGCTGAGCACCTATGACATGTTATGCAGTCAGATATTAATAGCTGTTACTAACCAAACTGTTGCGGGATGCAAAGAAATATACAGAAGAGAACGAACGAATTCTCGGCAAAGGCAGACTTAAGCTTCGGTATGAAGATGATCAGAGCTGGAGAAATTTGATAAGGGATGAGCATGTTAGGATGGAAACATGAGTCCCTGTTTCACAATAGCAAACACACAAAAACAAGAAAAGAAAAAAAATAATGAGAAAGGTGGGTAATGTAGAGACATTTTCAGTACCTTTTCAGAGCTCCAAGCATGCCAGCTACATTCAGGACAGCAGCATTAAACATAGACATTTCTTTCCCTTTTCTCCTTTGGAAATAAAAAACATTGCAGTCCACTAAGACTAATTATTTTGTCCAACTTTTATGTGCATCTCCCAATTCACAGGGCTGTCCACAGGAGGAACAGTAAGAGCAGAGACCACTGATACATCTCTGAAGACCACCTCCAAGGCTACATTGACCACCAAAGTTTCTAATATCAGTTTGGGACCCCTACCAGAGAACATAGCCAATATAAACACAACAAAGATGATTGTCACAACTTCAGCTGTGTCCTCCAGTATTCCAGAGACAGCTTCATTGGCCACCAGATTTAGAGAAGATAGTAGCATACCTGTCCCCAGGACAATACCATCTTCTTACAGTAGCGATCCAGAGGGCACAGTCTCAGGGGTACCCGGTCCTGGGACAAAGACCAGACCAGATGTTCAAACTCTGACTATCTCCTCTGCTGAGACTGATACAACAAACTCCTGGGTTACCAGTCTTTCAGAGAGTACCCCAACTGTTGTCAAGACAACCCTGAATGTCTCCCATGGTGAACCAGATACCATGTCCACAGCTACCAGTGCCACAGCAGAAGTCAGTTCAGCTATCCCAACTTCGACTTTTTTCCGTGCTGTATCACATTTGGTGACCTCACTGACTACCAGCCATGGTGAAGACACAAGTATGACTGTTCCAACCAGTAGTCATTCCCTAGATGAATCAGAAATCACAGACCCACAGGTCCCCAGTCCGAGGACAGAGACCAGTCCAGATGTAAGCACTATGACTATGTCCTCTCCTGAGCCAGACACAACAGCTTCATGGGTCACCCATCCTGAAGAAGCTCCTCCATCTATTGCCAAAACTGCCTTAAATGTTTCCCATAATGAATCAGATTCCACAGTGTCAACAGCCATCAATCCCAGGACAGAAGTCAATTTAACTGTTTCAACTTTAACTATTTCCCCTGCTGTACCAGATTTGGTAACTTCATTGACTACCAGCCCTGGAGAAGATTCAGGTGTATTCATACCAACTCTTCCTGATTCCTTGGGTAAACCAGTGACTACAGCTTCTTGGGTCACCCATCCTGGGACACAGGAAAGTCATTCTATTGCAACTCCTATTGTTTCTGCTGATTTTTCAGGGATGACAGCATCACTGGATATTAGTTCTGGGACAGAGACCAACTCAGCTATCCACACTCAGACTGTTGTCCCTAGTGAATCAGGTCCAACCATCTCAGTGGTCACCCATTTTGCACAGACCAGAACACCTGTTTCTGGAGCAACTCTTGATATTTTCCACAGTAAATCAGATGTTACCACATTCTCATTGGACACTACCCCTGGGACAAAATCCATGCTAGACATCCCAACCACTACAACTTCACCTAGTAGAGTTGGACTGGCAACCCGGCTGGTTACTACTTCTGGGACAGAACTCAATACAACTACTCCAACACTAACTGTTTCTTCAGATGAGCTGAATAACACAACCTCATGGGTCACCCATACTGAGACAGAAGCCAGCTTGGCTATTTCCAGTATGGCTGTTTCTTCCAATGAGCCAGACACAACATCAGGGATCATCCATTCTACAGAGATCAGTCCAACTGTTCCTATGACAACTGTAAGATTTTCTCAGAGCAGATTGGATGCCATACCCTCAACAACCACAAGTTCCAGGGATAAACCCATATCTGGTGTTTCAACTGCAATGATTGCACTTGGTGTACCAGATATGATGAGCTCACTGGTCACTAGTTATAGGGCAATGGCCAGTACAAGTATGCCAACTTTGACTGTTTCTTCCTCTGAACCAGAGACAGCAGCCTCACTTGGTACCCATGCTGGAGCCCAATCCAGTTCAGACATTCTGGCTCCAACTGTCTCCCCTGCTTTACCAGGAATGGCAGCCTCACTAGTCACTAGTTCTGGAGCAGAAACCAATCTGTTTCCAACTTGGACTTTTTCTCCAACTCAACCAAAGACTGTATTTTCATGGGCCACCCATCTTGAGGCAGAATCTAGTTCTGCTGTTCCATCTTCAACTGTCTTTCCTAGTGAACCAGGTAGAACCACCTTATTAGTCACTCGTCATGCAGAGATCAGCCCAGCTGTTCCCAAGACAGCCCCAGATTTTTCTCACAGTGGCTCACATACTCCCTCAGTGATCACCAGTCCTGACACAGAAACCAGTTCAACTGGCTCAGCTTTTACTGCTCCATCTGAGGTATCAGGAGCTCTGACCTCGTTGATCACTAGTTCTAGAACTGTAACTACTGAAAATATTCCAACTCTGTCTATGTCTGCTGATGAGTCAGCCACCACAGTTTCATTGATCAGTCATCTTGGGTCACAGACAAATTCAACTATTCTAACTCTGACTGTCTCCCCTGATATACCGGAGGTAGTGACATCAATAGTCACTACTTCTGAAGCAGAGACAAGTTTGTTTCCAACTCAGACTGATTCTGTTGGTCAGCCAGAGACCACAGCCTCACTGACCAGTCACCCTGGAGATGAAACTAGCTCTACTCTTCCAACTCTAACTGAGTCTCCCAGTGAGCCAGATGAAACAATCTCTATAGTTAACTACCATGCAGAGAGCAGTCCAACTGTTCCCAGATCAAGTTCAAGTTTTACCCTCACTGAATCAGACACACCTCCTTCAACTACCACTATGGGTCCAGATGCCAGTTCAGCTGTTTTATCTACAACTATCTCACCTGTTGTTCCAGGTATAGTAACTCCACAGGTTCCTTATTCTGAGACAGATTCAAAAATATCGAAACCAATTGTGACTCTTTTTCCTTCTGAACCACAGACCACAATTTCATTGGTCACCCCCACAAGGGCAGAGACAAGTTTATCCACTTCTACTATGACTGTCTCTTCAGATATAACAGAAATGATGACATCATTGGCCACTAGTTCTCTGACAGAAACACATACAATTATGACAACTGTGGATGCTTTCCTAGGTCAATCAGAAACAACATCTTCACCGGTCACTCATCCTGGAAGAGAAAACAGTTCAGCTGCTCCTACTGGTGTTCCAGTCATGGTGACCTCACCAGTTCTTCCTTCTGAACCATGGACCACAATTTCACTGGCCGCCCATGCAGGAGAACAGTTCAGCTCATTGATTTCTACACTAGCTGTCTCTCCAGCTATAGCAGAAATGATGGTATCACTGGCCACTAATTCTAGGACAGAGACACCTACAACTACTCCAGTCCTGGCTGTTTCCCCAGGTCAACCTGAAAGCACAGCCTCATGGGTCACCCATCCTGGAAGAGAAGCCAGTTTAACTGTTATAGCTCTGAAGACTTCACTTACTGGGGTAACTGAATCATGGGACATTCATCCTTCAGATGCTAACCAAACAATTCTGAGGACAACTCCAGATTTTTCCCTTACTGAATTAGATACTGCACCCTCAATAGTCACCAGTCCTGGGACAGAAGTCAGCTCAGCTTCCTCAACGTCTGTGGTTTTACCTAATGTATCAGAAGTACTGACCTCACTGGTCACTACTTCTAGGACAATAACCAGCAGCAATAGTCCAACTTTGACTCTTTCTTCTGCTAAACCAGAATTTGTAACCTCATTTGTTGCCGACACTGGGGCACAAACAAGTTATTCTATTCCAGCTATGGTTGTTTCCTCTGGTATATTAGGGATGGTGACCTCGTTGGTTCCTAGTTCTGGAATAGACACAAGTACAACTTTCCCAACACTGACCAGTTATTCACAAGAACCAGAAACAACCACCTCATGGGTCACCCACTCTGCACTGTCAGAAGTTAGTTCACCTGTTACAAATGTTCCTGCTATGTCAGTTGAATCAGAAACAACAGCCTCATTAGTTACCCATTCTGCAGAGACCAACCCAGCTGTTCCCAGGACAAGCCCAAGTTTTTCCTACACTGAATCTGACATCACACCCCCAACAACCACTATTCTTAAACCAGAAGCCAGTTCAACTGTTGTAACTACAAATTTCTCATCTGGTGTTCCAGGAACTTCACAAGTGCCTAGTTCTGAGACAGACAAAAGGACACCTAAACCAACTATGAATCCTTTTCCTTCTGAACCACAGACAATTTCACTAGTCACCAACACACAGGCAGAGACTAGTGCCTCCATTTCTACTATGGCTGTCTCTCCAGATACAGTGGTAATTATGACATCACTAGCCACTAGTTCTGGGACAGAGACTCCAGCTCTCGCTGTTTCCCCAAGTCAATCAGAGACCACTTCCTCATTCATCACCCATCCTGGAAGAGAAACCAATTCAGCCATTCCAACTACAACCACCTCCCCTGGTGTTCCAGACATGGTGACCTCACCAGCTCTTCTTCCTTCTGAAACACAGACCACAATTTTGTTGGCCACCCATGATGAAGGACAATCTATTTCAGCCATTACTACTCTAGCTCTATCTACAGGTATAACAGAAATGATGACATCACTGGCCACTAGTTCAGGGACAGAAACACATACAATTATTCCAACTCTGACAGTTTCCCCAGGTCAAACAGCTTCATGGATCACCCATCCTGAAAGAGAAGACAGTTCAGCTGTTCCAACAACAACAATCTCCCCTGGTGATTTGGACATATTGGCACTACCAACTCCTCCTTTTGAACCATGGACCACAATTTCATTGGTCAGTCATGCTGAGGAACAGCCCAGTTCAGCCATTTCCACTCTGGCTGTCTCTCCAGTTGTAATAGAAACTATGACATTTCTGACCACTAGCTTTGGGACAGAGACAATTACAACTAGTCTAGCTTTAGCTGTTTCCCCAGGTCAGTCAAACACCACTTCCTCATGGCTCAGCCATTCTGGAAAAGAAGCCAGTTCAGTTGTTCCAACCATAACCACCTCACCTGCTGATGTACACATGGTGACTTCATCAATGCTTCTTCCTTCTGAACCACAGACCACAATTTCACTGGTCCCTCATGCTAAGGGACAGCCCACATTGGCCATTTCTACTTTATCTGTCTCTTCAGGTATATCAGAATTGACATCCCTGGCCACTGGCTCTGAGACAGAGACACATACAACTATTCCTGCTGTGGCTCTGTCCACAAGTTTGTCAGAGACCACAGCCTCATGGGTCACCCATCCTGGAAAAGAAGCCGGTTCAGTTATTCTAACTACAACTATCTCACCTGCTGTTTCAGACATGGTGACCTCACCAGTTCTCCTTCCTTCCGAACCACAGACCACAGTTTCGCTGGTCACCCATGCTGGAGGACAATTTAGTTCATCAATTTCTACCTTACCTGTCTCTTTGGGTGTATCAGAAATTACATCCTTGACCACTAGCTCTGGGACAGAGATACATAAAACTACTACTCCAACTCTGGCTGTTTTCTCACATCAACCAGAGACCACTGCCTCATGGGTCACCCATCCTGGAAGAGAAACCAGTCCAACTGTTCTGATTCCAACTGTTTTACCTCATGTTTCAGACATGGCCACCTCACCAGGTCTTCCCTTTTCTGAACCACAGACCACAATTTCATTGGTTACTCATGCTGAGGAACAGCCTAGTTCATCCATTTCTACTCTGGCTATCTCTCTAGGTGTAACTGAAATGATGACATCACTGGCCACTAGCTTTGAGACAGAGACACCTGCAACTATTCCAACTCTGGCTATTTCCCCAAGTCAGTCAGAGACCACTTCCTCATGGGCCACCCACCCTGGAAAAGAATCCAATTTAGGTCTTCCAACTCTGTCTACTTTGCCTGGTGAGCCAGAAACAACTGAATCATGGGTCACTCTTCCTTCAGAGTCCAGCACACCTGTGTCTAGAACACCCCCCAATTTTTCTCATAGTGAATCAGACGTCATACTCTCTGTGATCACTGCTTCTGAGGCAGGAACCAGTTCAGCCATTCCCACATCTATCTCATCTAATGTACCATATATAACTACTACTTCACCGGTTGCTGGTTCTACAGCAGATATCAATGCAATTTTCCCAACATTGACTACATCACTGCCTGAACCAAAGACAACAGTCACCTCAGTCAGTCATCTTGCCTCTACCCCATCAACTTCCAGTTTTCCTGATAGCAGTTTGGCTATCACATCTTCATCAGCCAGTAGTCCTGGAAGAGAAACCACTTCAGCTGTGCCAACAATGGCTGTTTATCCTGAGGAAGCAGGTATGGTGGCCTCACAGGGCACTAGTTCTGGGTCACCAATCAGTATGATTCCAACTACAGTTCTTTCTCCTACTGAACTGGAAAGCACAGCCTTATCAACCAATCTCCCCAAGGCAGAGATAAGCCCAAAATTTCCTGTTCCGTTGGAGACCATGGCCTCAGTATCCATCAGACCTGGAGTGGAACTTAGTACAGCTCTTCCAACTTGGACTGTCTCTTCCAGTGGACCAGAGATGACAACTTTTCTCTACACCTCTTCCGTTTCTGAGACCAGCAGTAATGACCTGAGTACAGTTGTTTCATCTGGTGATCTTGATGAAACAGCCTCTCGCTTTACCCATCCTGGGACTGAGACCAGCAGAAGTATTCCAACTGTAGCTATGTCTCCTGGTTTGGCAGGCACTATAGATTTATGGGCCACCAGCCCTTCAACAGAAGCCACAATGACTCTGTCTCCCAGTGTCCCTGAGTTCCTCAGTGCTCCCACCACCAACACCGAACCTATCACTGAAACCTCCCAGAGAATAGAAACATCACCATCTGCCACTTCAGTTAGACTCCAAGATTTTTTCGGGACTGTCTCAAGCACCAGTATGGCCTTGATAACAGCAGAGAACCCAACACCACCTACAGTCAGTCATGAAGAAAGAATAAGTCCAGCTACTACTCTGGAAACTACAAGTGAAACCACCCATTTAGCTACCAGAGGATCAAGAACCACTGTGGCTGAGATCACAACTACTCTGGCTGGAAGTCCTTTAGTCCATCTGATCACTCCTGAAATGTCTACATTGGTCCCTGAGAATGTGACTTCAAGAATAAGTAAGTATACCTTTTGTCACTCATAAAATATACATAATGTAAAGTTTCCAATTTAAGCATTTTGAATGTACAACTCAGCAGGGTTAATAATATATACAATGTTATGCAACCATCACCACTATCAGTTTCCAAATATTTTTTAATTTCCTTTATTTTCCTGGATCTCTGGAGACTGAACCACATACTTTGCAAGTGCTATAGCACTGATCCACATCCCTAGCCCTACAAATAGTTTTTAATCACCAAGAACTGAAATTCGGTACTCATTAAGCAATAATTCCCCATTCTCCCTTCCTCTGAATCCTTAATGAATGTCTTAGTTTCCTTTTCAGGTGCTGTGATAAAACACCCTGATAAAAACAGCTTAGAGAAGCATATTAGTTACTTTCCTGTTGCTGTGATAAAACACCATAACTAAAAGAGGTTACTTGGCTTATGCTTCCAGAGGGATAAGAGTCCATGATAGCAGCAAAGCATGGTTGAAGGCAGTGAGAGGAGAAAGCTGAGAGCTCATATCTTCAAGGAGGCATAAGAAGCAGAGAGAGACAGACTGAAAATGGGATGAGGCAATATAGTCTCAAAGCCCACCCCCAGTGACGTGCTTCCTCCAGCATGGCCATGCTTCCTAAACCTCTGCAAACAACATCACCAACTGAGGCCAAGTAGTATTCAAATACTTGGAGTCTATGGGTGATATTATTATTCAAACCACCACAGGGTGAAATAGTTCATTTTAGCTCACAGTTTAAGATTATAGTCCATGATTGTGAAGAAATCAAAGTAGGGTGAACTTGAAAAAATCACATCACATAATCAAAGAGCAAAGAAAATGAATTAAGGGAAGCCTACTACTTAACTCATCTCCACTCTTACACAGTCCAGAACCTGAACCAAGGGGATGGTGCCTCCCACACTGATTGGGTTTTCCCACATTCATTAAGGGAAACAAGATAATTCCCCACAGACATACTCACAGGCCACCCTAATCTAGACAATCCCTCATTGAAATTTCCTTCCCATGTGATTCCAGAGTGTGTTAAGTTGGCTATTAAAGCTAACCATCACAGTGATCTATAATCTACTTTTGTCTCTATGCATTTTATATTCCACATAGTTTACAGAATTAAAACCATATTATATTTGTCCTTTTGTCTACATCTTATTTAATTTAGCATAATGCTTCCCTTTCCTCTTTTATTATCCTTTTAATTGTCACATAAAGTAGTGGGCTTCTTTTTGACATTTTAATACATATGTATGATTGTACTTTATATTCTCTCCCTTACTATCCTCCTATGTCCCTCTAACCTCTTCCACCCCATAACAGTCCCCTTTCTTAATTCATAGCATATATGTAATTTAAATCTAGATCTTCATATGAGAGAAAATGCATAGTTTTATCTTTTACCCCCCTCTCATTCCCTCCTTCCCCTCCACTCAGATTCCCTTCTCTCCCCATATATGTCTTCTATTTTCACAACATGTTTTCAAGATTCATCCCTTTTATAGGATTGTCAAGAATTTTTATGGACACTGGCCACAAGAGAATATTAGTCTTGCCTTCACATCTAGCTCAGAACTAAAAGCAATTTTCTCTCTGTGTCTCTGTCTTTCTCTTATCCCTCTCTATCTCCCCTCCATTCCTTCCTCCCTCTCTGTCTAGCTCATACATTCTTTCCCTCTCCCCCTTGATTATCCTGCTCCATCTCCCCATTCCTCCCTCTCCCTCTGCCATTCCCTTCTCTCCCCCTCTATCTCTCTCTTTCTCCTCATCTCTCTTTTTCTTCCTTCTTCCTTGCTTTCTCCATCTATCTCTCCCTTTTCCCACATTCCCTCTTCTCCTCATCTCACTCAACTTCTTTCTCTGTCTCTCTTTGTCTCTTTTCATGTCTATCCCTCTCTGTCTCCCCAGACCTGTCCTCTTTCCTTCCTTCTCTGTGTGCCTCTTCCCTTCACTCATCCCTTCTTCCCTTGCTCCCTGTCCTCTCTTTCTCCTTCTCTTCCTTTCCCATCCTCTCCCGCTCTGTGTGTCTTACACACACACACACACACACACACACACACACAGACTCATGGCCACACTCAGTCTCACTCTCTTTGTCCTCTAGCTACAAGTGTTCATCCAGACCTGGTGCCATTCACTTTCAACTTGATAATCACCAACCTACTTTATGACCCAGATATGGGGCACCCTGGTTCCTTAGCCTTCAACCTCACAGAGAAGGCCCTGAATCTCCTGGTAAGAGCCCACCAGTGCATACTGTACTGTTCCTTTGTCCCACCCAGGCCCGTGAATACCCCCCACTCATCCTTCTGCCTTCTTCCCAGCTCAAGCCCTTGTTTGGGAATACCAGCATTAGCTCTGGCTACTCTGGCTGCAGACTGACCTTGCTCAGGTAAGAGTTCTTTCCTTTACATCAAGAAAGACTATTCTGTCATAGGCAGGCTGACTGGGATTGGGAACAGGGTCATGATACATAGAAAGCAAGGCTGTAAAAGACTGAAGCCCTCCAGGAATTCAGACTCAAAAGTCTTTTGCATGAGTACATTCAGGCTCACTAATGAGAAAAGATAGTGTTGACTCATCTAACAAGCAAGGAATCTTGCACTTTGTGCAATGCCTGTGACTTAGCAACCATTATAGGAATGACTTCTGGGACTGCCTGCTGTTACAAATAGGAATCTTACTTTAGCTTGTGAGGAGATTAATTTTATGTTTTGAGATCATTTAATACTATTTCAACTGGTTTATTTATAATGTAACCAATCTTATTCGTCCTTGGGCTCATCTTGTAAGCTAAACTTATAGTTTAATATCTCCTTACTCTTCCTTCCTCACCTCTGAACCAGAATAGCACGTGCACATGCATCCTTCCGTGTGTGTGTGTGTGTGTGTGTGTGTATGTGTTTTTGTGTTGTGAAAATATCAGTGCTGAAAAGCAGTGAATATCGAATATTTTTGGAAGCAAAAAATTATACCCCAGTTTATGTTGCAAGCAACAGGTGGGGTTAGATTGGTAACATCTGTTTGTGGTTTTCTATGCTGTTGTAGGTCAGTAGGAGTCAGAAATGGAAAATCCTTCCCTGATAAAACAAAGTTCCTCATTTCCTTTCCCATACCATGCTGAATGTACCATTTCAATAAATACAGAACTAGTCCTTTGTTCAAGGGAATAGTTCCAAGAACACTCAGAAGGAACAAGTTCTGAGAACAGATCGGGCTCATTCTTGGTTTTAAATGATTCCAAGGGTCAAGATGTCTTTTCTCAAACACCACCATATTGTGAAATGTCTTTACCACAAATCATGAGTATATCTTGCAAAGGTTCCACTATGCAGACAGGAAACAGCTGCATGAACCTGAACTCATTCATGAACTAAGCAAGGGAGACCATTAAACTCTGCACAGAGGCCACAGGAACCTAGAGAATGAAGTCTCAGCTTGATGTTGGGGACATAGGTGGAAGGTGCCTGGAGTAGATGATGCACAAGCCACACTTTCACAGTGTGTGTACAAGCCAGAGGAACCATAGGCAAAGATACTTTTGAATGAGTAGTCCATTGTAAGTAATAAGGGATATGAGAACGGAGAAAGTGTTCCTGTTCCTGTTCCTCCTCCTCCTCCTTTTCCTGATTTCCTCCTTCTATTCTACTCTTTCCACCAAAAAGTTCTATGGAATTCAAGAATAGATAGTATATCAGAGTAAATGAGTGAGTTAATGAATGAATAAAGAGTAAAGCAAAGAGAAAGAGGGAAGGGGAATGAGAGAGGTCAGGAGGGAAGGCAAGCAGAGAAGAGAGAAAATAAAGGAGAGGAAAGGAGAGAAGAGGAAACAGAGAAGGAAAAGGAGAAAGGAAGGAAAGCCGGAAAAGATGAAGAACTGGGATGTGAACATCGATAGATTTCCCAAGAATTCTCATCGAGAGTAACACTGAACTTCATAATAAAACAAGTTGTCAGTTGACATGATAAACGTGAAATGAATAACCCAGGAAAAAAATGGAGAACAAGAGAAAGATATTGATGCATTTTTTTCTAGAAATCAGCAACTTTACAGAGTAGGAGACTTGGAGAAAGAGGACCTAGAAAGGAACACACCTGAGCAAATAGACAAAACCTATTTTAAAAAGACATGTAATAAAAACAGAAGCAACTCAGCACAGTTCTCTCATGTCTCTGGATGTCCCTCTTCACATGTTCATATCACTCTAGGATTGAGAAGGATGGAGTAGCCACTGGAGTGGACACTGTCTGTACCTACCGTCCTGATCCCGTGAATCCTAGTCTGGACAGAAATCAACTGTATCAGGAAGTGAGCCAGCTGACCTATGGTGTCACCAGGCTGGGTCCCTATGAACTGGATAGAGACAGCCTCTACATCAATGGTAAGTGTCTATGCCTGTAGAGGTCAGAAGAGGGTGTCAGATTTCCTTGAAACTGGAGTTACAGATGGTTGTTAGCCACCATGTGGGTGCGGGAACTGAACCTGGCTTCTATGCAAGAGCAGCTAGTGCTCTTAATCACTGAGCCATCTCCCCAGGCCCCACCTCAGTTAAAACCTTTGAGGAAATAACTTCATAGGCACATGCCAATATGTGTTTCCATGATAATTCCAAATCCATTGAAGTAGCTGGTGAAGATAAATCATCATCACTATGTTGCTTTTAGGCATGCAGTAAGGCAGAAATTGAACTCGGTGGGTCCTGATGTTTGGAGCTTGCTCGGATCCTGGACTTTTGATGAATCTCTTTGGGTGAAATCTTCATTCTGGCATTCTTTATAGCCAGATGATCTTGGGAAAATGGCTTACTCCTTGAATGTAAAATGCTTATATCTAAAAATGAGTATAACAACTCATAGAATTGTAGGTAAGAGTCCTATGAGATAATACAAAATGCTCATTACACAGAACCCTTTGGATAAACATGAGCTACTGTTAATGTTTTTATTCTTGGTGGTACCCTTGCTGTGACAGTTTTGCTGGTAGCATCACTGGTCAGCTATTCAGTGTGTATTTGCTAAGAGTGGTAATGTTTCAGGAAGTTGCAGTTGTTTAAGCTGTTCCATGCAATCTGAGAGTTACTACTTTAAGTTGTCCTGATGAAGGGAAGGAAGTGGAGTGAAGGTACTCAGGCCATGGGGGAGCGCTCAACCACAGAACCCTTGGTCACTCTGACTTCCCCCTAGCATTTGCTGCTCTAGTTGAGACCTTATAAAAAAGAATGGAAGAAAAAGGAGGAGGAGAAAGGAGGAGGGTGAGGAGGAGGAGAAAAGGAAAAGGAAGAGGAGGAAGAAGAAGAGGAAGAGCGCAAGAAGGAAGAGAATGAACAGGAGGAAAAGGAGGACAAAAAGGGCAGAAAGGAGTAGAAGGAGGAGGAAGAGAAGGAAGAACAGGAGAAAGAGTAAGATGATGAGCAGGAGGAACAGAAGGCAGAACAGGAAGAAGAACTGGAGGGTGGGGCATAGGAGGAGGGATAGAAGGAGAAAGAAATATTTCATCCCAGGAAGTGAATAGGAAATGAGTTGGCTTACGTTGGTGTGTAAGAATTCCAGCTGGGCGTGGTGGCACACACCTTTAATCCCAGCACTTGGGAGGCAGAGGCAGGTGGATCTCTGTGAGTTGGAGGCCAGTCTGGTCTACGTAGTGAATTCCAGGACAGCTGGGGCTATAGGGAGACCCTGTCTCAAAAAACAAAAACAAAACAAAACAAAATTCCAAAATGAGGCCTCACAAAATATTACATTTGTGCCAAGATTCAAAGAAACTCTCCAACAATAAATAAAACAAAATGCTTTGTACAGCAATTTCTTAAGCTCAGCACTATTGACTTTTTTTGAAGCCTAGAGTAGGGGACTATCTTGTACTTTGTAGGATGTTTACCAGCACCCCCTGGCTTTTACATAATAGAAACCATTAGCACCCATTCAAAAGTGCCATGGAAAAGTCTCCAGACATTTTAAAATGTCCTGGAGATGCAAAAGTCACTCTCAATCAAAAGCTGTTTCATAGGGAGGTCTGAGACTGTTGAAGCTATGGTTTACCTATGACGTGCTTCTCCACAGAAGGCTCATGTGTTGAGTTATTGGTGACCAGCTGGTGAAGCTGGATGGTGATCGACACATAAGAGTGCTAAGTTTGTTACTGAATGAGGTAATAGCACAGCATATTATTAGCAGAGAAGGAAGTTCACTGGAGGAAGCAGGTCACTGGGAGGCATGCCTTTAAAGGATATATCTTCTCCCTAATCCTTTCCTTTTCTTTTTTTTCCTTCCTGATACCCATGAGGGAACAGATTGCCTCTGCTGTGCCTTCCACATTTAGCCTAATAATCTAACCTATTGCTTGATTAGTTACCTCTCCCTCAATATCCACATGGAGATTTCCATTCTTTCTAGTGTGAAATACAGATTTTGTATGTCATTGCATTATCTACAGAACATCCTACTCTGTGTCCATAAAAAGTATCTTACACATTTTTCTGTTGTTGTGATAACAAAATACCCTAAGTCAGAGGTAGTGGATTCTGCAGCAAAACTATTTGCAGGAAACAATAGGGCTACTGTACACGTGAACTCACAGCAGCTGTGACTGCATGCTGATCAAGCCAGTTAAAATCCCAGTAGTAACTCATGAAGTCCTACTCATACCTGAGGAGCAAGCAATGACTGCTGTGGGAGGGAGAGTAAGTTTTCTTCATGGATGCTGTCCCTGAGAGTCTACCCATGCTTCAGCAGATGCGCCTATACTCATGTACATACTGGCAACACTAAACTGAACTCAGTGAATTTTTAAAAAGGGCACCTGAAGTTGAGAGGAAAAAGGGCGGTAGAGGGATAAGGTAAGGCTTGAAGAGGAGGGAATGGGGGTGCAATATTCTTTTTCCAGTGGATGGTGATTAACATAGAGAGTCACAAATCATCAGCCTGCAAAGAAAAAGAGACAGCAGAGTTCTCAGTCCTAAATGGGACACCTGTCTCGCACCTTTCCTCCCCAGACTCAGGGATCACTGGGGAAGAGGAGGTGGAAATATTGTAAGCACCAGAGGTGATAATGTGTATAAGCAAACTGTTGTCTAGGCACTCCAAGTGTTTATGACAACAGGCACAAGACCTGTGCACACCCAAACCAGATGGGTTCAACATGGATGGCGGAGGAGGGAAGGAGGCCCCAGCCCTAGATGAGGATCTATTGAGATCTGATGGATGACAGGAGAAGAAGAGACAATTTTCCTTACTGGTGAGATTCCTGGTAGGTTGACCAGACTTGAAGGGATAGACCCACACCAAAGAACACTTGGGAAACATGTTAGACTCAATAGGCCTTGAAAAAGACAAATAAAATAGAGGATATGAAATTAGTGTGGGAGGGGGGCCCAGTGAAGCTGGGATAGAGAGGAGGGGATCTGAATGTGATCAAAAGTTATGTGTGAAATTATCAAAACAATAAAATTTAAAAAAATCATAGGCATATGTGAAATTCTCAAATAAAAAAAAGAAATAGTAGTAAAAAATAATGACAAAAATGAAATTTAAGAATTCTCAATTATTATTTGAGAATTTCATACATGCATACAATGTATTTTGATACTATTCAACTCCACTCATTACCCTAAATCTTCTTGGTTCCATCTTCCCAACACCCCCTGTTGTGGTTTTAATGAGATAGTACCCCATAAGCTCCAAGTATTTGAACTTTTTTAAAATTAAATTTATTTTAGAAGCATTTCATTACCGCTTTAACATACTCAATAACAGTTTCCAAGCAAAGATAAATCTCATTCAAAAGTGGCTATAAAATTTTTATGTTTGCTGTTGAACCTAATAACTGCATACTTAGATGAAGCACTTCATTACAGCAGCATTGACATATCCAATAACAATTTCCAGAGGTAAGATGCATGTCTTTCAAAATTGGCTGTAAAATTTTAAGTTTACAGTTGAATTAATACAGTTATACAATATTGTACTCAGTATAAACCCTATAAGACATAAAATTAAATGGAGTTTTAACCTTTAAAGAGGATCTCTATTTCATTATTAAAATATGCAGTTTCATACAGAAAACATTTTTAATGCAATTAACACTAAGGTGTTTGCACATGCATTTCTAATCTCTATGTATCTGATTATTACTAGTCACAGTTGGTTACTTTCTGAGATCCTTGGCATCTGAGCATGGATATAAAGTCATCAGGTAGATGTCAATGGTAATGTTTTTCACATCTACTAATTATTAAGAAGCAAATTTTTATGCTTTGAAGAATTATTGTTTTTTTAATTAAAAAAATTTAATAACCACATGACTAGAAGAAGCATTTCATTACAGCTTTAACATATTCAGTAACACACTCCAGAGCAAGGATACATCGCTTTTAAAAGTGGCTGTAAATTTTTAGGTTCACAGTTGAATTAATACCGTTATACAATATTGAACTCCGTATAAACCCTGTAAGATATGAAATTGAATGAGTTTTCACCCTTTAAAGAAGATCTCCATTTCATTTTAAAATATGCTGTTTCCTACATTTTTAATGCTACTAACACTTAGATGTTTGCACATGTGTCTTTAATTTCTATGTATCTGATGATTACTAGTCACAGTCAGTTACGCTCGGATACTTAGTACCTGAGTATGGATATAAAGTCATCAGGTAGACTTCACTGGTAATGTTTATCACCTCTACTGTTTAACACGAAGTAAATTTTTATGCTTCCTCCTTGCTCAAGAGGACAGGTGACTCACTACAATTACAGGACATTTTGAGAGATACTCATAGTCCCCTGGAACTTAGTCGACCTAGGAGGGCAAGGAGCAAAAGCTGTCCTTTATGTCCCCCTGACCAAATTAGTGTAGTCCTCAAAGTATGGCTGTTAAATATCCAAGAAGGTTATTTCCACCAGTCTGGTACTTTTAATTACCATATGCCTTATTGACAGAGCTTCGGCAAAGACCAAATGCTCTCAGATAAACATTGCCTAGGCATATGTTAAATTCTTTGATCTGGTTGTATGTATAATTTGTTAGTAGGTGGTTGGCCTAATGTGGTTCCTTCTGGTTTTCTAAAACTAGATAGGCATTGTTTGTCTCTCACATTGTCTAACCCTTCCACCATGGTTTCCCCATTTAAGGTGCTCCCCTTTTTTTCCATTTCTCCCTTAATAATACCCTTCTCCTATGGTCCCACCTCTCTTGAGCTCCTTCTTTCCCTTTATCCCCTAGGTTCCTTGTATAACCTTCCCTCCTCCTCCCCTTAAACTAACCCCATTATAGTTCAAATCTCCCTTGTTAATACCTGTTTTCTACTGTTCTCCTCTTTCAGATTCCTTCTTTTCCTTTACTTCCCTGGTTCCTCTTCATTATCCTGGTTCTTGTAGTTATGTCTGG